TAAAGATGCTGGCCGCGAAGGTCATCAACCCGAGCTCTGGAATTCTGATCAGGGTGTTAGGCTAGTGTGGTTCGGGCCGGGGATCAGAATTAACGCTCTCGTTGTGGCTCAGCGGCTTCAGCTCGGTGAGGCGCAGCTAACAGGCACGTCACGATATATTTTCGGCTGCCAACATCTGCCCAAAAAGCCGACAAAGAATGCTCCGTCAAGCAGGCATTGTACGCCGGGTCGGCTTGCAATAAGCTCCGCCTAGCATGGCACTAATCCCGAAACAATTCACACAAAACACCCGATTTTTACCACGGCAAAGACCGAACCGGTCACGACGACTTTTAAGGCGAGCGCTGGAAAACTAGACAAGCCTATCTAATCCCACTTTTTCCTTTGCCCATTTCGACGTTGAATTCACCGCATAGCAGAGCCATAAAACCAAAGTCAGGTCGTGCATGGCAACGGGTCGCAATCAGCGGATGGGAAATAGAAGCCCGACAGTATAGCACGACATGGCGTGTGGGACGACCAACCGTGCCACTGTCGGTCCGCATAATCCGCCTGATTAGTCGCAGGCAGTCCTTCCGCCGACCGCGGATCGACTTTTGTAGCCCGCCAGGGACCGGAGGAAAAAACTCGGGCAAAACCGGCACGCAAACAGGCAGAAGCAGGTGAGGACACCGCTGGGGCGTGGCGAGGGAGCGTCCCGCGGCGTGGGTCGACAACGCCTCCCCAGGGGCGGTCCCGACCGGCCGGCCGCACCGCGGAGCGGCCGGGGTCACAGCAGTGCCTCCAGAGTTTTCAGATCAGCGTCCGCGGCGGGGGCGGCAGGCCTGGGTAGAACTACCTCCCCGGTCCCCACCTCCCCCCGCCCGGCGCCCGCATACCACCCGCCGCTCGCCGACCGCGCAGATACCCCACACCCCACACTCTGCGGTCCACGACCGAACGAACGACGACGGGCGGCGACAATCGGACACCGCCCGCACACCGAGCGCGCCGCTCACAGAACAGACAGTGACAGAGGCGTGTGGCGGCGGCGGCGGGCCGCTCGGCCGTCCAACGTCCCGCCGTGTAGAGCCGTGTCCGACCAGCCTCACTGCACGCGCACGGTGTGAAGATTGGCACGGTCAGGCGGCTGAGAGGGAGGGGCGGTCTTTGCACGCTCATCCGCCACGCCACTCCGCCGTACCAGCGTGGTCCAGCGCCGCCACAGCACGGCGCCGCGGGGAGGCGCGATGACTGCCGGCGCCGCGGGTGGACCTGTTTTGAGCGTCACCCGGTCCGAGCGGGGGCGGGAGGGGGAGGGAGGGGGAGGCAGAGCCGGGCGTCACGCCGCCGCCGCTGTGGTGGCAACAACAGAGCTCTCAGCACGGCGGCGACAAGGTGCTACGACCGGCGGCTCCCAGCTGGGCGGACCGCGGGCCAGCGGCGCCGACAGTCGGGTCGGCCCTCCCCGGCAGGGAATGCCCGGCATCCCGGCGGCGGCCGCCGGCTGCCGACCGCGACTCGGGCGGCAGCCGGCAGTCAGCTGTCGCGTGACGACAGCGCCGAGGGCCGGCCGGCGGACCGAGGGGCGCGCTGGGCCGGCGGACCGTCCTCACAGCGGCGGTGGCGGCGGCGGGCTACCGGGCGGACCAGGCAGCTACCACCTGCACCCGGACAGCACTGCACGCCATAGGCAGTCACTCACGTCACATGTGCACTGTACCAAACCCGATCCCAGCAACCTTTTCGACATGTCAGCCGCACGGGACACAAATCACGGTCGCCGCTCACGGCAGCCGCCACTGGGACACGACACAAATCAGGCGTGCCGCTCATGAAGTCAGTCAGCCTCACACGGCACGGTCACAGCTGTCCGTCACAGGGCGTGTGGATCACACACAGCACGCCACAGCCGTCTCCGCGGCGTCCGTCAGCGCGGCGACACAAATCACAATCGCCGCTTACAGGGTTCAGCCATCCCGGACGATAACTCTGGCTTAAAAGCGTTCCGGCGGATTCAATCAGCACAGCACGGCACAAATCACAGCGCAGGCCGCAACAGCTTGTCATTCCCACAAAGCGCAATCTTATATCTGCCGGCTCTTTCAGAGTGCCGACACCGGATCCGCCGCCGATAGAGCCTCAGACAACACCGCCGCTGGCTATGACGGAGAGGCGCAGCTCCAATACACAGCGCAGAGAGCTGACGGAGCTCTCTCCGCCATCGCGCGGCGCCGCCTCGACCGGACGTGACACCGCCCTGTTTGTTTGACTCGCGCCGACTCGCTCCTTCCGCGACCGGGACGAACAAAGGCCCCAGCTCGACCGGAGTTGACGGCTCGGAATGAAGACAACAGCTCGAGCTGCGAGCGCCCGAGAGGGGCGGCGGAGCTCGCCGGGCCCGGGAACAACATCGGAGCAATGCCGCCCGGTCGGAAGTCGCCCCCGCCCTCTCCCCCTCCGGCCGAGCTGTCGGCGACAGAGCGGTGACGGTACGTCGGCCCGGCGCCGGTCGGTCGCCCGGGTGACGCCGCTGTGACGCCGGAGCCGTCAGGACGACGTCAGCCTCGTTGGGCCTGTCGGCGACACACGACTGCGCCGGACGGTGGTCCCGACAGCCGCGGGTGGTCCTCAGCACGCACGGCAGAGCCGCTGAACGGCCTCCAAGTGAACTCAATTCAGCTCGACAGCCGAGACGAGCTGAACAGTAGCAGCGTCACGGGCCGATCGGAACGGAACAGACTCAACAGAGAGGGTTCAGCCATCACATACCGAGCGAAAACGACGCAGCGGCTTCGGTTGGGCACAGACCTCTCCCTAAATCACTCAATCCTAATCCCAAAACGTTCCAATGATCTAGATACGAATGATGGAATGGCCGTATCTAGGAACTCGTCAGATAAAACGAATAAAATGCAAATAATGCAATAAAACATATTCGAAATGATGAATGAATCTGATCTCGGCTATTCTAGGACGACGTATCAGTCCTCTAATCACTTCTCAGGCCGAGCGAAAAGGTCGAACAGGTAGGTATCTCTCTCCCGGGATTATATGCCCCGGAGACCAATTGGCCGTGCTCAAGCGTCGCATCAGCAAATCGGCTGACCTGGAAGGCTGGCTCATAAAGGAACAGTGGGCCAAGTGGCGCTCCTTTTAGGCCGAGTGGCAGTAGCCCGTCCAGATGGAGCCATGCATAATACAGGGGCGGCTGGCCGGCGGCGGGCGGCCGCAGAGCCGACTAATGGCGGCTGACCGGCCGCCGGCGCCGATCGCGCGGTCAGCGGAACAGACGCTCCCAGGACGAGCTACGACTCTAAACTCCTGGGACGAGCAGCGACCCAAACTATCCGGGACGAGCCAGATTCCGACTCCGACTCTCCCGATCAGTAACTGAAACTGCTCGACATATCTGGGGATTTGAAATTAAGCTCCTGGCATAGGCCTGTAACGCATATACCCAATTTGTTGGTAATGTACCTAATTTCTTTTATCCTAGAGGCGACAAACCGTCCCATCGGCGCGACATGCCGACGATAAAACACCGGCTCCTGTCCCGCTTTTAGCGTCAGACCCAGTCTCCAGCCGGCCACCCAGTCTCGGCACGTGGTATGGGCGCGGAGGTGGCCCCTGCCGCGGGCTCCTTACGTGGGTAAGTGCTAATGGCTCCGTGTCCCCAGGGGCCGGTGGGTGGGTCGATCGTACACGGGCCCCGCGAGCCGACGGATCCGCCCAACGGCTGTCCATCGACAGACCGGGCCGGACCGGGCCGGCGGCGAGGTTATGCAGCTACAGCGGGCTGGGGCCGGCGGCGGGGCTACACTACACCTGGGCTGACGGCAGGGCTGTAGCTGGGGCCGGCGGCGGGGCTACACTACACCTGGGCTGACGGCAGGGCTGCAGCTGGGCGGCTGACGGAGCTGAGAGTGGTCATCAGTGCTGGTAGTGGATGCCCACTCTGTTTTGTAGGGTTAGGCCCTTTCGGTCTAACGACAGGGATGCACACAGTGCCGTGGGGTTGGCAAAGGAGGGTGGAATCGGGAGGTAGTCGGGAAGAAATGGGGACCAAACTAGGCCGGAAATCTCGACACAGAGAGTAGGAGCGGCAAAAGGGGAGACTGTATGGCAAAGGCGCGGTTACGGCAGGACCGGTAGTGTTTCAAATCAAACAGTGGTGATACAGCTGATGTGGAAGTGGTTGCTGCAGAAAAAAACTGCAGCAAGAAGCAGCGGCGGGGTGGCAGCTGTAACAAATGGGGCTACAGCGGGCTCGGCTGTGAGCGCAGCAAGTTCAAAAAGCGGACAGCGTGCCGCCATCAGCAGCCAAATCGACGGCGCCGCGCAGGCCACATATAAGCGGGCGCCGTGTTTTCTCACGGCGACATAGAGTGATGCTGTCGCCCCGTGAATATGGCCAGCTTCAAGGCACTCTAAATGGACGCCATACAAAAACCTAATGGACGTTGCAGGCTATCAAAACAGGCTTGAGCGTGCGGTTAAGATCGCGCCGTCGCGCAGAAAGAGAGGGAGCATTGTTGCTTTAAAAACAGGCGGTCGGGGGATAAAAAACGCCGGCGGCCATTGACGGAGGCACGTAGTGGCGCGGTGCTGCACAGTTTTTGCGGTCCGAGAGGCATTCGCTGACACGTCGGATTAGTTAGGCGGTAAAAAGGCCGCGAGGTGTAGTGTTCTCCGGCGGTGCCTGCGCCCGCATGACGCTCGGACATTGGAGCCGGAGCCGCCGGAGCAGCTCTCAGCTCTCAGCTCTCCCACTTAGCGGGTCGACTCGGCGGAGTCCAGCAGCGCCCAAATGGACGGCTGCCGGCGAGCGCCACCATTATCTCCCAATGGCGCTACACCAGCTTACCGCCGCCCAGCCTCCTTCCATATTTACCACGACGGTAAATCACACAGCGACCGGACCCAGTTTCACCTGTGATACTATCTGCCCGACCGGCGGCACACTCCCTCCTTAATCGGCGGCGCCGCCGGTACCCAGCCCGTCCGTCCCCAGAACTCACCGGTCTGGTTGATGGTGAAGTGGCCGAGCCCGTTGCCGCCGCGGATCGAGTAGGTCACCTCCGAGTTGGGTCCGTCCGGGTCGGCGTCCGTGGCTCTCACAGCCAGCACAAACGTGCCCGGCGGCAGGCCCTCGCGCACAGAGCCCGACACGGCCACGGCGCCGCGGAACGACGGCGCAAAGTAGTTCTCATTGACATCGACTACCTGCACGAACAGGTAGGCGACGGCCGTCAGCGGCGGCGACCCGTCGTCCCGCGCCTCGATCGTCACGTTGTAGCTCTGGCGGCGCTCAAAGTCGAGCGGCTCGAGCAGCCGCACGGCGCCCGAGCGCCGGTCGACGCCGAACCGGCCGTGTCCGCCGGTCACCACCCGGTACTGGACTGGCTCCTCGGCCTCTGGTCGGTCCGGATCGCGCGCCTCGAGCTGCGCCACCACGGCGCCAACGGGCAGGTCCTCACTGGCGCGCACTCTGTACACTGACCGCGAGAAACGCGGCGGGTTATCGTTCACGTCTAGCACGTCGATGTGGATGACGGCGTGTGAAGACAGCGGTCGGTCAGCAGCACCGTCCCGCGCCGCCACGCGCAGCTCGTAGCTGCTCTGACGTTCCCGGTCCAGGGCGCCCACCTGAGTGACCAGACCCGTCTCCGAGTTGACGGCAAAGTCGTCCGTGTCGGTCAGCAAGTGGTAGGACACGCGGCCGTTGGCACCCTCGTCAGGATCGGAGGCGTTCAGCTGGACCACCATCTGTCCAGCCTTGCGCGTCTCCGGGTAGAAGAAGGTGAACGAGTCCCTCTCCAATTTGGGCGCGTTATCGTTAACATCAAGGATGTGAACGATAAGCGGCAGGGCGGCACAGAGCTGGGGCTGGCCGCGGTCACACGCCGTCACGTTGAGCCGGTACGTCGGAGCCCTCTCCCGATCCAGCCGGCCGGCGATCGTGATCTTCCCCGTGTCCATATCGATGTCGAACACGGAGTCCTGGTCGCCCTCGGTGATGGCGAACACCAGCAGGCCGTTGAAGCCGAGGTCCTTGTCGTGGCCGATGACGCTGACCACGTCGGTGCCCAGTCGGGCGTCCTCGCTGACGTGCAGCTCGCCGTCGGGCCGCGCCGACAGCTGCGGCCGGTGGTAGTTGGTGCCGTACCGGCTCGAGGAGACCTCCGTGTACGGGTCCTCCTCTCTGTTGTTCCTCTCGGCTGTGGCCAGCAGCTCGCGGTAGCGACCCGCCACGCCCGTGTCCTTACACTCGAGCCGCACGCTGGCTCCATGCGGCGCACCGTCACCCACCAGCTGGAGCCGCAGCTGGGTCTCGTCTGAGAAGTGCTGGCCGTCGTTGGCCATCACGCCCAGTTTGCGCTGGTCGCTCGGCAGGTCGGTCAGGTCACAGGCGACACGCAGCGAGCCGCTCCGCTCGTCCAGCTCGAAGCAGCTGTCCTCGTTGCCAGACACGAGTCGGTAGCTGACCGCCGCTCCGTCGTCAAAGTCGATGGCCGACAGGACCATGATCTCGGTCCCGATGGCGGCGCGGCGCCACAGCCGTCCGTGGCAGTCCACCTTCTCAAACTGGGGTCGATTATCGTTGACGTTTCGCAGTCGAACGGTGACGGTCGTCTCGGTCTGCCAGCGGTACGGTTTGCCCCAGTCGGAGCAGCGCACTCGCAGAATGTACCGGCGCCGCTCTGTCTCATAGTCCAGCACCTGAGACGTGCTGATGGTTCCGTCAAAGTGGTTGATGATGAACGGCACTGGCTCCGTGTTGGCGATCGAGTACGAGAGGAAAGCGTTCTCGCTCTGGTCCCCGTCCTCACAAGTCACGCTCGTCACGTGATGGTCGGCCGGCTCGTTCTCATCCACGGCTGCCTGGGTGTTGGGCGTGACAAACCGCGGCGCGTTATCGTTCTCGTCAGTAACGGTGACAGTAACACGCGCCGAGCCCTGCCTCTGCCGGCCGCCGCTGCCCTGGTCCAGCGCCGACACCGTGAGCGCGTAGAACGCCTTGGTCGCCTTGGTCTCGGCGTCCAGCGGCCGGGCCAGTGAGAGCAGACCGGTGTCCGAGTTGATGGAGAACTCGCCGCCCTCGTTGCCGGCCGCGATGGCGTAGCGTACCTGGGCGTTCAGGCCGCTGTCCGAGTCGCTGGCCCGCAGTCGGACCAGCGGCGTGTGCGCCAGAGCCGACTCCGGCACGGTCACGTCGTACGCCTCGTGGGTGAACGCCGGCGCGTGGTCGTTGAAGTCGGTCACCCGTACTCGCACTGATAGACCCGACGAGCGCGGCGGAGTGCCCGCGTCGGTGGCGTTGAGGGTCAGGTTAAACCCGTGCGGAGCGCTCTCTCGATCCAGCGGCTCCGAGACACCGACCAGCCACTCTCCGACCGCCGAGCCGGGCAGCACGCGGAAGCGCCGCTGCGGGTCGCCGTCCACAATCCGCACACTGGCCACCCGGCCGTGCTCTCCCTCGTCCTGATCACTGGCGTGGATGATGGCGTACACGTCCATACTGGAGTGCTCCACCACCTCGGACAGGTGAGTCACCCGCATCACCGGGTCGAACAGGTTCACGGGCCGCACTCTGATCATGAGCGGCGCCTCGCCAGGCACGCCGGGACCGTCCTTGCGGCCGCGGTCGCGCGCCACGGCCGTCAGCTGAAACTCGGGCCGCTGCCGGTGGTTGAGGCGCCGTGCCAGCGTCAGGCGGCCTGTGCTGGGCTCCATGGCGAACTGCGGCTCGTCCTCCTTGAGGCTGTAGTAGACCATGCCGTTGATGCCGGCGTCGGCATCGTCGGCGTGCAGCTTTGTGACGAGCCCGTGCACGGGCAGGTCCTCAGGCACCTCCACGTCGTAGGAAACCTGGTCGAACCACGGGCTCAGGTCGTTCCTGTCCAGCACACGGACCAGTACCTCCGTGTAGGCCGGCTGGCGACCGCCGGGCCTCCTCCAGCCACGCGCCGCCGCCCGAACCTTCAGACGGAAGTGCGACTGACGCTCTCGGTTCAGCACATCTCCTCCGTTTGTGCGCGTTCGGACGCGGAGGAAGCAGAAGTCTCCAACCACCTGCTGCTGCACCTTGAAGAAGCTGTCCGGGTCGCCGTCGATTATCTTGAACCTAATCTCTGTGCCGAGTTGATCCTCCGGCACACGCAGCCCCATGGGTTCATCGCTGATGACGTACTCCTTTCCGACGTTATTCTCATAGATGGAGGCGTTATAGAAGGACTGAGTGAACTGCAGCGTCCATTCGTCGTCGGCCGCCGTGGCAGCGCCCAGCCGGCATCCAGCAGCCAGCAGCAGCAGCTGTGTTATTAGCCAGGGCGCCGGCCGTGGGCGCCGCGGCCGGGCGCCGGATGAGGGCGCCATGGACCCGGCAGCCGAGGGCGGCGCCTCGCTCCCTGCGAAAACACACAGGGGAACGGTCATTAGGACGTTAGCAGTGAGTATGTGGGTGCAGATGTACCGGGGCAGGCATGTCAGTCACACGCGGACATCAATAGGCGCCCGCGCACACTGCACAGCGCACATCATTAGGGGAAGCGGAGTCTCATGTTAATTAAACACCAGAGTGCGCTCCGATGCACAAACCAGCTATACCTCTCACAAACACCAGCCGACGGATCCGGTGGTAAAGCACACAACCTGACAGTCTCTACTGTCTCGTCCATACTTTCAGAAGCCTTTCTCAAACAGAGAACCATCTGTTCTCTCTCCGGGCGCCCGATAACGTGTGTGTGCCGAGGGAGCGTTCGTCGCCCGAGTCGACACTTCACTATACGGCCAAACATCGCCGTCAAACACGAGGAAACGGTCGCCGCCGTCTGGGCTCTGGCCGGCGGGCCGGCAGCGCCCACAGAGACCATCTGACAGCTCCCAGCAGAGCCGGCGGGCTTCGGCCGAGTGGCGACCATTACTCAGAGCCCGAGCGTCAGCCTTGCAGCGTCAGAAACACTGAGTCAGCAGCGCCGGCCGGGTCCCCTCCCTTTCCCTCCTGGACACGCGAGCTCCCCTCGCTCCAGCCGGCCGCTCGAGGTCGTCACATAACGGCACTACCGCCGTCCGGCGGTTCTCTCCCCTGCTCTCACCTCCCTCCGCCGCTCTGCGCGGCGCCTCGCTCCGAATCCCACCTCTCCACAGTTCACCGCACTGCACTGACACCTTCTCACACACTCTCACACTCTCACACGGCGCGCCGAGTCCGGTCACGGCGCGATGCGACCCCCCGCACTCCCCAACGGCCGCCGGACGCCGACTGGCTGACGCCGCCGCCGCCGCCGCCGCCGCCATCGCCGCCGGCCCGCCACCAGAGGGCGCTGATGACGCCAGACGGCATCAGAGCGCACGGAATCGGGACCGGCCGGCAGGCGAGTGGGGACGAACGAGGGGTCCAAATCAGGGATTACGAGGGATTCAGTTCGTTTCACAGGCTTATATAAGCCAAGGTAGGGTAAACTAAACACAGAATCCCGCAAATCGCACCCAGTGTGCTACCGAACAGAACACGAACCTGCCCGGCACATCGGCAGTTGTCCATGAATTTTGGACGAATGACGCACGAGCTGAGCTAAAGTGAAATTGGAGCAGACAAGACCTATTTTACAACCGTGACTTCATGCCAACTTAATCTTTCAGCATGTTACAACACAGGCTACCGCTGCTTCAGCCATCATTCTTCCTCCCCGTCCCGGTCTCGCGGCGGCAGTAACCGTGCGCTCGTCCTGTACACACGTTACGGACCGGCTCTGGACGGCCGCACCAGCCGGCCGGCCGGCCGCCGCCGCCGCCACAGGGGTGAGGGCTCGACCAGCTGTGCGGCGAAGCGGCCCGTGTGGACGGGAAGGCCGAACTAGCGGCGGCGGCAGTGGCCACGCGGCGGCAGCGGAGGCCAGCGACCATTCACTGGGTGTCACCAACATTCCGTCTCTGACGTCACCAGTCTGCCCGTATTACCTGTCATGACAAGACGCCACCAGCCCACTCTTATTACCTGTCATGACACATGTGATCGAAAAGGTCCACTGCACCTGATGGAGGCTGATTTGGAGGGATGGTTAGTCGGGCACTGAAAGGGGCGGGTCCTGGCGATACAAGGGGGCTCGTGGATGTGTCAGGGGTCATGACACGAGGTCATGGTCTTGCGAATTCGGTCGGAGGCCGGGACAATAGCCGGGTTCCCGCAAGTCATCTTGTTGTGGTAGACATTCACAGTGATGGCTGATCTAAAGAGATAATTACCTGTCAGCTCCTAAAATAACAGCATTTATTAAGGATCATTTCGACTCGCAGATTGTTCGCCCTTGGCGCATGCGAAGAGGACGTAATTTAACGCGCAGATAAATTTTGAATGCTCAGTTTCCATTCAAAATAACGGACGAGAATATCTTCATTGACGGCGTGTTATGAGGATTGGGAGTTGGAATCACCAATACAGATAGTGAAGCTAGCCAATGAGGAAGTGCATTGTTGAAGTTTCACGAACCCGCTAGCCAAATCCAATACCAAATCCACTGATACAACTTATTCGTGTTGTGCACATAGCAACATCACTGGCAACTTCTAATGACAATTAGCCGACCGTGCAGACCCGGTTAGGAAATTCCAAGTCGGCCCACGAGTCCGCCGAAAAGCCGCTGCTTTAGCTTGTCGAACGAAGCACAGTGAAAAACTCGCCGGGCACACGCCATCAGGACACGGACGGCGGTCAGGCGCTGTACATTTGAAACGTACCGCCGACAGTTTGCCACAATAATAGATCCATCAGACGTCCATCCAGCGGCCTCGGCCGGCGATGTGAATCGATTAGTCTGAATGGCATCAGCGATGGCATCGGCATTGTCGGCCCGTCCTGAGGAAGACACGGCCACAAAACGAAATGATGCATCCACGGGTCAGGTGAACGCCCTCCCTCGGCGGCCGGGCGTTATTACTTAGCGTGGCCATGTTGAGCCGATAAGTCAGCATTTCATATGCCGACGGTTCGTGATCGATGTACCATTACCGAGGTGTGCAGGGCTATGAGAATTTCCGGGTGCTTTCGTTGAATGGCTGTTCAGTTTCCTTTGATATTGCACGGTGTCTGAGTGTTTTCCAATATAAATTCAACAGCATCCTCGACAATAGGTGAGTCTTTGGAGTTTGGCCATCTAGAAACTCTAATACTCAATGACGCTATTTCTGTACCTCCGAATGTTTGAACGCTCCGACGAAAAATGACGCCGCTGTTCCCCAAAAGTTTGTCTCGCTTCACCGAAGACGCAACAATCTATACCCCATCTCAGCCCGACGCCCCGCCAGAGCGAGCACGATACCAACTTTGTAGCCACTAGCTGTCGACTGGAAGCCGGTGGCTTAGCGCCGCGCCGGCCGCCGCTCCGACCGCCTCCCGTCGCCGGCGGGGCGGTGCGTGTCGCTCAACTGTAAGCCTCCTCCCAGACGGCGGTCCCTGCGGCCGACCCCGACCGTCAGACACGGCCCGCCGCGGGTCAGATGAGAGCCGCCCGACGCTGTTCCCAGGAGGGCCTCCGCCCCTGGCCGGGGCAGGCCGGCAGTGTGGCGGTCCATCCCAGCCACCTGGTGGACCGGTCCGCCGCGCTGCACCCACCGACAGAATACCTGATGAAGACGCGAGGAACGGGCCCGCCGGGATGGGGCCGCCGGCCGCCCCTCACAAGGTCGTCACCGACCGACCGACCGCTCCCAGCCAGCGACTCGCCGCCCGGAATCTGACGAGATTACCATAGCTGGCAGAGAGCCGACTCTACCACGCTGAGAGCTCAATAAACATACCGTCATACACCGGCGGGCCGACCCAAAAACGGAGATCAGAGTCGGAAAATGAGATGTCGGCACAACTGACAGCATCGACAGTATGTCTGTCGGTACTTCCAAGTTCCACGCACCCATGCAGCGCTCGTTCGTGTAGGTACTAAGCGGACTTCGCGTGCCACCCATACAATGCACACAGGAACCAGCGTCGATACGCTGTCGGCCAGTGTCCCGCACGGATACGGTAAGGTGCGTGATGGCCTAGACAGCGCTTATCCGGTATCGTGACGGTCCGTCACCGCTGTCGGCCAGGTCAGTGACACGGGGCGGGGAGGGGAGGTGGGGGACAAATGGGGATGGAAGGCGGACTCCGACAGGCGGGAGACGTGGAAAGAGAGACTTCCGAGTCCCGAAATACTGCTTACCAAGCCCAGCGAAACAAGTGACATAGCGGCTGATTTAGACATCCAATGACTGCGAAAACAAGCTGGAAACCGTACCTGGTTACCAAATAGCATAATCGATTATGATTTCGGAGTCACTGCGACCCCCCCCCCCCCCACACACACACACACACACTGACCCTGAAGGTCACGTCCGGTCCGACCTGACCCCTGGTCGATACCGTGTCCGTCGGTCGGTCGGTTGGCCTGTCGGTACCTGTTCCGGGCGCACCGTGCAGTATTTATGAGCCCACCATTCACTATGCCGCAGTCGGCGCAGTGTTATTCAGTCGGGCAGCCGTGTTTAGGCGCACCAGAAACAATTCCCAGGAATGTGACCGCGCCGCGGCGGGGCACAGTGCCGGCCCACAGCCGCGGCGGGGCACAGTGCGGGCCCACAGCCGCGGCGGCACACAGAGACCGACTCCCAAACAGCCGTCCCCGGCGCCGAGAGCCGCGTCACATCAACAGACACGGAATATGCCGACCGTCCCACCTCATCAACACCGAGAACTAGCGAGCAGAGCGGGATCAGCGCTACATAAAACCACCTCACAACGGGTCGGCGTGATTCCCTCTCTCGTCCCTCCTTTCAGAGCCGGCAGCGGACCTGCACGAGACCGTAAATTCAGTGGTCGGTCGCCTCTATGGGCACGACCGGGCGACGAACCGACACCTCAGTCGAGTTCCCACGGCAGCGCCTGAGGAGGAGGTTCCCAGCTTGTCCATTTCCTGTGGAGAATATCCGGCCGACAGGCTGCTCTCGCTACCATTTTCCGACACCGAGCGTGTCATATGATTTTCCCGGCAGCCCCAGGCAACTGCACGAGCTGTCTGCTGCCGCTGAGAAACTCATAGACAGCATGCAATGTGAGGCGAACGTGGTGCAGTTCTCGGGGACCGCAATGCAAGTGTGATAAGTCGTGCGGGAGTTCAACTACCTCTCTCATCGGTGCATCATTATCACTTTTTCATTCACAGTTCTCTCTCTCTCTCTCTCTCTCTCTCTCTCTCTCTCTCTCTCTCTCTCTCTCTCTCTCTCTCTCTCTCTCTCTCTCTCTCCCCGCGCGACCGCACAGCAGCATCCATCGCTGTGTGCCTTGCGGTACAGCATACCTACAGGCGTTACTACTAGCGACATCTATCGTCGGAACGTTAAAACACAGCCCCACTCTCCCCTTGGTAACAGGTTTCCGCTTCTCGTCGGTCCAGTATCAACAGTCTCCGATACTGATCTACATAGGAACACCACTCCTACGATCTGACACCTCTCCAGAAGGCGCCGGCAGCCGACGGCCGCGCCCGGCCGTGTTATTTCAGCCGCCCCCGAGGCACCCGGCCGGTCGCGGCACAATGCTTTTTGTGGGCGGCTGTCGGAGGGCGGGCCGGCCCCGGGCGGGGGCGGGTGCGGGGGCGGCCGACTGTCGCCCGGACCGCCTGCAGTGACCGACAGCGGGGCACCGGATACACGGCGGGCGCGGCTAATAGCTCACGGCGAGACGCCCCGGGGCAGCGCGGCGCGACAAGGAACAACGCACACGGAGCAACAGGGAATACAGGAATAGCGGCGCTATTGGGAACATACGGTGACGATGCAAGGCGGGGGAGAAAGGGGAGAAATGAAACACAGTGGCTTGAAATTACAGTGCTTTGGCTGAAATACGACTTGAGGCTATTGATTTAATTCATGCCTAACTGTTATGCAAAATTTATGCTGTTGAAATGCACGGAGATGTTTTCACCTCGCACGGGACTTTCTCACACACATGCACCATACCTCTCACTCAAGTCACTTCCACCCACACACCTCGACACACGTCACCCAGCGCCTTCCCCGTCATTGTTAGCGTCAGCGGCGTGGCCTACCACCGGAAGCGGCCCAGCCACACGGGCACGTTCTGTCGACCGGCGCCGGCGCCAGACCCGGCGGCTGTGTGTGCGTGTGTGTCCGCCTGTGTGTACTGTGTATGTCGGGTCGTGTCCGCGTGTTTGTGTTTGTGTTGCGACTGGCGTGGCGGAGGGGGAGGGGGAGGGGGCGGAAGGGGAGAGCCAGACACCCAGTCTGTGCGGGGATGGTGTCGACGAGAGGGCGAGGGGATGGGGCATCTGGGTCCGACAGACCAATCCAGATCCGAGTCTGGTCCGCCACAACCAGACGCCGCGTCGTCCAGTCGACCGGGCCGGATCCCGGCAATGTTCCGGTGCAGACAACCAGAGAGCCCACCGATCCAAAACGATCACACACCATCCGATGGGAGTGGCGTGCTCACCAGACCTCACGAGCACGATCACAACCTCGATCGGGCCGACGGGCGCGTCCAAGCGCCATTAAAACAAGGAGGGAGCGCAGCACTGCGGCACGAGCCGCGGCTCAGCGTCCGTTTAACAAGCGCCGAACTGGGCCGGGGCGGGTGAAACGCCCGAGCGCTGTTGATAGCTGATCGGACTCGTGAGGAAAGCATCACGACGTGCTGCGAGCGCTGGGAATATCACGCACGGTTTGGAGGGAGGGAGGGAGGGAGGGAGGAAGAGAGAGAGAGAGAGAGAGAGAGAGAGAGAGAGAGAGAGAGAGAGAGAGAGAGAGAGAGAGAGAGAGAGAGACGGAGAGAGAGGGACGAGATCGGATGAAACAGTGCCGCCGTCCAATCACCGTCCGTCGTCCACCGTCCGTCGTTCGTTCCCAGGCCGGAATTGGGCTGTCCCAATCATCGCCGCAGCGCCGCCGCCGCCCTCCCTTGTCACTGCCGTCATCAACGTCATCGTCATCATCGCCCTGCTGTCTCGCCGTCATCGCCGTCACTACCGCCCCGCTGTCTCTGTCCTTAGCTCGTCACCGTTAGAAGTCACCACGCCTCAGCCGCCCACTGTCGTGTCATTCCGTCATCACCGTCATCACTGTCACCGTCACAGGCGTCTAGACCACACCACCGTCATCATCATCGGACGGGTCCCGGCGTCAGCCACCTCACCCGCTCCCATCCCGTCCCACCGCTCACCGTTACTGGGTCTCGTCACCCGTCGGTAACAGCGGCCGTCACTCGGTTCGTCTCTGATTACCGAGCGCGTGCGGCGCGCCGCCTCTCCCCAGAGGGCGTCGAACTGCACGCCGAGCCGTCACCTGACACCTGACCCGTTCGCCGACTGACGGACTCGACACCGGAGCCGACGACAGGCCGACGGCGTCGAACCGGACCGGCTCGACGGCGGACGGAGAGGGGGAGAGACGAATGCCAGCCTTTAGGTGGCTCGAGTTCTGCTCTGAAGTTGATGTGTGTATTTTTGGCCCAAATCTCTGAAGGTCTCCCGTTCGATAAAGTCAGTGAAGCCGGGCGCGGCTGAAGCGGGGAGCGGCCGACCGTCACAGTCGAGGGGGTGCGATAAGTTTACCAGCCGCGATCAACACTGCCCAGCCGCCCGGGTGGCGCTCCGTTCCGGTCCCTGCCGCTGCTCCCGCTCCGTCTGTCTCGCCGCCGCTGCACTGCCGTCTCTGTGTGCAGCCTGGAGACGAGGGCTGACCAAGGGCGCACTGTTACCCTGACGGAAAACACACCGTCGGCCGTACACAGACGCGCCCCGCCCGCTAGCAGCTGAGCACAAATAGACGAGTTACATGTTTGAGCAGCGCTATGCTGGCGCTATCCTCTGGCTCTCCGCTCCGTCTCTGTGATCCGCTGCCGCAGGAGTTCCGAACAAAAGAAATGTCAGTCTAGAGCTAAAGCCGTGAGTTCCGACAGTCTGCTGGCGATAATCGAATCAAGCAAACAAAGACCCATAAGACAAGCGAAAGCCAGATCGGATCCTCTGGCAAAATATCGCGATCATACAGAAACGTTCCTGAAACGACGACAAAACTTCTTCAGAAGCATCGATAAACGGTTCAGGTTTGTACGATGCCGTGACATTGCAATCAGGGCATACAATCGGAGATATACCCACCGGCTGAGGTCGGACGGGCGGCAGTGGAGGGAGCGGATCAGACACCCTCAGACTAGCATCAGACCGATATCAGCACCGCGCCGCACCGAGCCGGGCCGGCAGCGCGGCTCCCCGACGGCCGGCGCGGCGTGTCCTATTTATCAGCAGTAATGGGCCGACGACGAACGCTCCGTAAACAGACGTCCAGACGGGGGGACGCCGCTCTCATCTGAACACCGCCTCCTCTCGCAATCGCGCTGAGCGGGGAGGGGGCAGGGGATGAAGGGGTGAAATACGCCGGCCGTGCATCACAGGCCGGCAGACAGATGCGAGCGGCATCCAGCGCCGAGCTCAGGGCCGTGGCGATCGGACGGGAGACGCGCGGGACTGATTCACGGCACCCAGGTGCCAGTCGGCGCCACGCATAAAACCATCTCTGATTTCATAACGTGATGTCGAGCTCGACGGCGCAGGTACCCGGAACAGAACCAGCGGCTGGGAGGAGCCAACGGTCCGACCGAGCGCAGCCAGCTCGTGACTAATTATCCCGGGGAGGTACCGGGCGATCAGACGATAGCGTGTTACCAAAACCAACCACCGACAAAGGAACGAAAATTAACGGGCTTCGGAGCCGGCCGAGTGGGAAATGTTTGTTTTTAGCCCACGCACCTGCCAGGCCATCAAATAAATGTGGCTCGGACCCGCCCGTGACGGGTGAAAGCGACGTCTCGGCTCCGGACGCGGCGGACCGACCGACCGCAAGGACAAATAAGCGGAATTAATACGTGTACGAGTCTACGAACATAATACCCGAAGGTTGTTTCTTCATTAGACAAACACTATTCTTTAGAATTGTGTTTTTCTATTGAAAAACAAACTGAGGGTGTTTCCATTTCGGGATAGGATTCGTGTTTGGTGCAGCGAATTGGGGCACCTTGCACCGTTTGCACACGAACCGATAGATTTTGATGAAAATTTCAGGACAGCTGCCCCCGCAGATTATTTACCACGAAACACCCTCAGCTAAGTATCCATAACGGGTGACGTTCGACTGGTGGCTACTACATAAGTCACACTCTTTTCGTATCTCTTTTCGCTAAATAGAGCCGCCCTCTATCACGCGTTCCCCCTCGCCAGATAGACCTGTTCCGGTGTCTCTCATTTCCCAAGGGCCCGCTCTGTGACCTCGCCCACCACTTTGACCACCCGTTCTTATGTCTTTCTCCCCGCTACACTACCGCTGTGATGGCACGTAACCGCTCGACGAGCCGCACCCAACACAAACACACGTCAGTTCATGTTGTGTCGACACTCGGCTCAAAATGAGATCAGCACACACCGGCCTCGCCAGCCAAACATGGCCCCAGGGTAGTGCAGAGCTCATATCTTCATGGCTCCGGACGGCTCGGAATTCGTTTATAGTTTTAACAGAGTATACCCGTCATACAGAGCCAGACAAACAAGCAAATAATCAAATTAGTGTATTCAGTGTTCACATTTGTGCCCACTGACGACAGTATTTACGTGACGTGACATTTCATCACATCAAACAGTACCCGAGGAACGATTACATCAGTCAGCTGGAGCGAATCGCTCAGCCCCTCCCATCCCCCCTCCTCGTCCCATATCTCACCTCAGTACCCGCTTGTCAAGGCTGTCTGCGGTCAGGTCATGGGTCCTGCGGCCGTCCCCCGACCAGCCAGCGGCGCACAGTCTAACCTGGAGCTGGTGCCAACATTCCTACCGAGCGGCGCGACGGTAGGCGGCTCCGGGGAGGTGTCACCTCACAGGGAGAGGGGAGTGGAGGAGCGCCTGGGGTGTATCATGTGGAGAGAGAGAGAGAGAGAGAGAGAGAGAGAGAGAGAGAGAGAGAGAGAGAGAGAGAGAGAGCTCGCACGGTCCTAGAAGCCCAGCTTGGGTTCGGATTCGATGGCAGTGACAGCCGAAGATAGCCCGGCAGCTCAGACGATCCGACAGTGTCCACTCGGCAGCAACCAATTCGTCCGGCTGTGACAAAGAAGCCCCGGTCGCCAGACAGGCGCCGATAGGCTCCACCACTGCACGGGCCAGCTGATTGATCGAGTCTCTGCACCTGTGGCGGATTGGAACCGGGGCCTCAGCGGCGGCACGTACTGATTCGCCGCGGTCCGGTCCCGTTTTATCGGCGGCCATGTGGCGAGCGCCCACCGTCTGTCGAACGGTAGGCAGTCCGAGTGGTGTGAGCAGGTACCGTGAAATAAGTCTAGAGTCGCCTGTCAGACGGCGCCGCGATGTGGTTACGGCAGGCCAGAGCCGGTCGGAGCTCGCTTCCGGGGAGGATGCGGCTCAATGCACAGCGAGCCAAACTTGAAATCAATAGCTCGCCCCATGTTCCTGACTGTCTCTCTCCTCTAACCACTCAACAGTTCACAGGAACCGCAACAAGTGGTGAGTGCATCTTCAATTCCATCTGGGCCAACTCATCTCCAAGTCGGCGCCATCCATCTCCAGGCCACCAACTTTGGCCACTACCTCTGCTCTTCCATCACTGAAACATGACACCAATCTCGCCAGAGACCCGGTCTGAGTCCGTCAGTCGCTCCCCTCCTGCTCACTCACCGTTCCAAACCGCCGCCGGCAGCGGCTCTGTGTGCAGCCGGCGTGCAGTCCGCGCCCCGTGCAGATTCCCACGCCCAGTACCAGGTATTCTTTCCCAATCCGAGTCTTCATATCAGCTCGGCCCGCCACAGACACCGAGCAGAGACCACAGGTGGGCAGCAGGTGCAGATAACACAGCCGCCCGGGTCACAGACACCGCCCGGGGCGCACGGAAGGATCACAGAGGGCAGAGGTCATCAAAGGTCAGACAGGTCACCGGCGGCGAGGCACGTAGTCCGCCGGCGGCAGAGCGTGACACTGGCGGCTGGCCGGCAGGACAGGAGTGCTC